AAAGACGAAGAGCAAGTAGAGGAATATTCCCAGAATGTACTGTAGCAGTTGAGGGGCACTGTTGTAAACACCGCAAAGGCGGTAGTTGAGCCCTATAAATAGGGAACACTTGTAACAGTACGCGGGGTGGGTGAATGTATTAATGAAACCACAGCATTGCGTGTCACGCCCTTACACGCTCACTTGCCGTGCCTACCCTTCCAATCTCCCGCCCGATTACTGTTCTCATCGGGCGGAGGCCCCTACCACTTCCTCACCGTCTGAGACCGCAAGTCTCAACCGATGGAGTACGAGAAAATATTAATATTTATAGTACATAATTAGTACTATTAGATATATTGTTGAATATATTTTTATAATCAACTTATTTAGAGATACAAATATTGTTAGTATTTTCTACAAAATCAGTGAAATTTAACAAAATTTGACCCACACGAATAGTATAACGATACTTATTTTGGGACAGAGGGAGTATGTGTGTCGCAAAGGTTTTCACCAAAAGTAGGTGGTTGTCTTCTTTTTCTTTTATAGAAAAAATTATTACTCCCTTCATCCCAAAAATAATGTAAATCTCGCTTCACGAGGAGTCCAAGAATCTTAAGTTTGACTAAGTTTATAGCAAATATTATCTATATTCAGATCTCCAATTAGGTTTAATATAAAAATATATTTCATGATTAATCTAATGATACTTATTACACATCATGAACATCAGTAATTTTTTTTTTATATATATTTGGTCAAAATTAAGAATCTTTGACTTCTTGGAAAGCGAGATTTATATTTTTTTTTTGATGGAGGGAGTAACAATCAAGTAAGCTCTTTACAAACAAGACTGTTAACACCCGTAGGAACTTAGGTAATATGTTAGTATAGGAATGATTGTCTTCTAATAGACTTGCTTCTTAGTTTATCGCTAGTTTCATATGGTTTCTCTACTTTTGTTACTTTTTGTGAGATTTCTTTGTTAGCGATTAGCGAAAAGCTATAACTTTATAACAGTTAGACAGTTGACTGCAAAACTTTAACTTTATAGCTGACTAATAAATTTTGAAATTAGCTAAGTCACTATAAGGACTACGTATTGATGGCTAACAATTAGACAGTTGAGTGCAAAACCTTTACCGCGAATAGAATAAATGAATTCGTTTATCTAGAAATAACCTATGAAATTGTGAGTAGCTGACTAATAAATTTTGAAATTAGCTAAGTCACTATAAGGACTTCGTATTGATGGCCACAATGCTTAAATCTCTGCTACAGTAGCTTCCATTCAGACATATAGTTGTGTTTATAAGAAGGGATCTGTGCGTGCACTGAGACCTGGCGACCATCTTTAATTTCCCAGTGGATCCGTACGTGCCCCGGTGGCCGTGCCTACGTGCCCCCGCCTGGCCCTGGTCGTGCCAGCGCCCAATGGCGGTTGAGCCCGCACTCCTCGACAGTGGTCATGCCCATGCTCGACCTAGGGTAAATTGGACCTCTGCTCACAAAGGGGCCCATCAAAGCAGGTTGAAGTTGAGAGAAACAACTTTTTTTAGTTTTATCACATCTCAAAATTAAATCTTGTGAGAGAATATTTTAAAGAGTTTTACTTGTGAAGCTATATAAAAAATACATGTCAAACACAAAATAACTCGCTGTATAAGATGTTGTGTCCAAGGGAGCCTTCTTTGACCGCTTGTTCCACATAAAACCAACGGTAAAAATAATGTCACTTGCAAAAAAAAAAAGAAGGTAAAAACAATGTTGTAAAAATGCTTTGTCTAGAGGGTCATGTAGCTCTTCCGCAATCGATGACTATTGACGATATCGGTGCACACGGATCCGGAGGCTCGACAAGAATTGACATATGTAGCTTCGATTGTCGATGTCGATGTTTAATGATGATTAGCTTATTAGTTGATGATTAGTTTATTGATCGATGTTTGATGTTGATTATTGAATAGCTCAGTACATGCATGCTAATCGATCGGTGGAAGGGATACATCAACCTTTGAATCATTGAGGAGTTGGTATACCGTACCCAAGGTTACCCTAAAGCATGCATCGACGGATATTCATGAGATTGATACCCTATAGATGCCTCACGGTTGACTGATAATCCATCAGTCTACTACAGAATAAAAATAATACTTCTTTCGTTTTAAATTATAATAATACGTTTTGTCTTTTCTAAATACATTGTTTTACTATATACCTAGACACAGTGTATATCTAAATGCATAGTAAAAGCTACGTATCTGAAAAAACAAAATGTCTTATAATTTAAAACGGAGGGAGTAATTACCTAAAATAAAAACATGAGCACTGCACATATGTTCTGAATTGGAGATTTAGACCTAGACAAGATGGATAAGTCTTAACACAAAAACCCTGATCAAATCAGATTATTTAGACATTTAAATCTTGATGACAAGTCGAATCGCAAAATAAGGGCTCATTTGGTGCAGTTCTCGCACGGGCTCCGTCTCCGTGTGTGGCTCCCGCACCAGAGTGGACTAAGACACACCAAACGAGATCGCACGGAGGAGCGCATATGTCATTTCTTGTGCCGAGCTGGAGCTGTTTTGGTGTTCGGAGTCGAAGCGCTAAAAACTGGCACCACTTGTTGGGCCCCGGCTTTGATGACGGAGCACCTCGCATAGAGCCACGCCATACGAACCCTAACTCTAATTAGATGATCATGGCAACTATCGAAATTTGTTCAAAGATCCAAAGGAGAGGCAGCCTAATGTATTCTAGGGAAATTAAAGGAGAGCACTGGCAGATCCACACCTCGAGGACATCGCCACTTGAGCTGGTCGACGAAGCCTAAAGGAGAATGTTTTATATGTAGCAAAAGGATAAACATAGAGCTATTATTATCTTTTGTGTGATAAAAATGGTCATGTTTAAGGGTCTATTTAGCTCAGCTATAAACCATGTAAAAGCTGCTATAATCTGAAAAACTGTTGTGAGTTATATTCTATGAAAAAACTGTAAACTGTTTAGTGGAAATAACTATATAATTTACCCACTTTTTTCTATCTTCCCATGAAAGAACTATCTCTGTATTTTCGCTCATTGTAAAAGCTAAAAGTCAAAAGCGAGTCTAAAGCGCTATATATAAAAATGGTATATATGAAAGCAACAACTTCTAGAATTTTTTTTAGATTCCATCGATTAGATTAACGGTCCGTAAAAATACTTTCAAGAAGCTGAACCAAAAGTATATAGCAAAAATTTGTGGATGAGCCACGGGAGTAACAGATGAGGATGGTCTCATATTGTCGACATGATATCATGACGTCGTGCACCGAGCAATAAATGAGGGTACAGGCGAGTGAGCTACATTTTCCTCTTTCCCAACCACCGCTCTGTTCGTTTCAGACTATGACTCAAAGAATCGTCGGTTGGTTTGCTACAAGAGAAAAATACTATTTGTTGGATGATAAGTCATGATTTATAAATTAAATATGATTAAACGAACAGGCTACACAACGTTTTTCTCTTAATTAGTTGTACCTATTCGCTTGAATTTATCAGCCGTACCGTTTCAATAAAATAATAGTATTTTTCTCTCATAATCAATCAACTTCAGTATTAGCATCAACTATTTTTTTTCGCTAGCCGAACAAAGCCTAAATCAATTGATGATTGATTCATTTGTTTAAGTTCTTTCTTTTCTGCTCTTGTCAGTATAAGTATCAATTAAGAATAATAAAGCAATGGATATTTTCCTAGAAGGTGCGTATATATGGCAAGAGGCAAATGGTGGCGCCGCGTGTTATTAGCGTAAATATATCCGACCCTGGGACCGCGGCAGGGATAGAGACGGATGACAAAGCAACGGATGCAGGAAAAAAAAATTCACCATCCTCCTTATCAATTCAAGATTTAACTACACACAAATAAATATAATACTACTAGCATTATTATATTATATTGGTATATTATATAGAGTCTGTTCATTTGAAGAAATTCTGAAAAAATTTAGATGATTTAAAAAAATATTAGAGAAATTTATGAAAAAAAACCTCTGTTCTAAATAATAAAAAAAGCGCATCCAGCCGGATTTAATGGCACGCGGGGCCATAGTACTCCGTGAGAAGGAAAGATCAAATCAGAGATTCATTCGTTCAATTGTAATTGTTTCCTTCCATTCCAAACCACCTTCAATTCTGATTTCTGCGGGCGGATTTTCATAAGGTCCTCCTCCCCTTGCCACTCCAAATCCTCTGCAAATTTCTCATGGCAGCCGACGTCTCCATCCCCACTCGATCCGCCTCGACCACCCGCTAATTCCTCCTAGTTCTAGTCCCCTCTCTCCTGCGCCGACTCATCTTCTTCCTCGTCTCACTCCCCTGCCGCTGCTGCTGACGCTGCTGCTGCTGCTGGGAAGACCAAATCATTCCCGTCAAAGGTGCGGCCTTTTCTCCTCCCCGGTGCGTTCGTTCTTGCGCAATCTGCAAAGATTTGGATTTACTGCTCTGTAACAATTTTCGGGAGACGCCGTCCTCACCCGATTTGATGTGGGATTCCTCCGCGGAATTTGGGGCGGGACTGATGCCGCTTTCAGAGGCTTTTTTTTTTCTTTGGGCGTGATTTCGTGCTCAAATTGCCATCTTTTAACCAGGCCATTGCACTTTTCGTACCCCTGGAGACGACTCTGGATTCCGGGCAAATTTTAGATGGGTCATCGAGTGCTCTTTTCTCATGACTGTGGAAAAGAAATCCCTCCTGCCTTTTGAAAGCAGGTTGTGTATAGAAATGAATCACTTTGACCTATGATTTTGTTATTCTAGGCCTCTCCATCACTTACTTCACTATCTGGGCGATGATAGAACTGTGCAGACTGTTAGTGTTACTGTGAAGTTACGCCATTCCTATCTTTAATTTCAATTTTTTTGATGTTAGTAATGTATGATTGCAGGTGTATTAGGTGATTGGTGCTTTCGACCTGGTACTCAGTGCCTTCTGTTCAATTGCTGGCTCCAAAGGATCAGGGTTCTGTCAAGATGGCATGTCCAAGAGGAAGGACATCATTTCTCCTTTGTTTCTTTCTGATGATTTGCCTCATGGCTCAGTTGGGAGCTTCCAATGTTGTACTCATGGCGAACAACACTACCTTGTCGTTCGATGACGTCGAGGCAACTTTTAGTGAGTGCTACACATTATTACACTATGTCCATGTCTCTCTGTACATGTCAATAGCAATCTGGTATTCTAATGGCAACACAAGCAAAGCTAGTTAGCTGTTGTTTTTCTCAAACACACAAGTGAGTTGCTTGTCATTAAAGAAGATAAAAAACAGTATAAGAAACCCATAACATCAAACACACACTCCAGCGCATTCTTAATTAGCTGTTGTTGTCATGTTCTGTTTTCTTTATTGCTAAATTGCCCTGTTTTTAGTGATTAGTGAATAATGGGCTGATCTCTTTTTTTCTTTAGCCCTGTTAGTTACATGGCTCTTCCAGTTTCTTCTTATATAGTAGCATCATTTTTGTATCTTTATGATCGATAATGTGCAATGTTACCTGGGTTCCTGAACAAATCTATCTGGTTATGAAATGCTTATTGACCTTTTTCGCTCTTCCTGCAGCTCCAGCAGTGAAAGTTTCAGGTGTAAATGGTGTACTTTATGTTGTGGAACCTATGGATGCATGCAGTCCATTGAGAACAAAAGCGATCAAAGGCTCTGTCTCACCATTTGCGTTGGTTATAAGAGGCGGATGCCAATTCGATGACAAAGTTAGAAATGCACAGAATGCTGGATTCAAGGCTGCTGTAGTATATGACAATGAAGACAACGGCGTCCTTGTTTCAAGTAATGATTCAGACATCATTTTTTTTTACCATAGCAGTTACATGTTATCCTTTATCAGTGCGCATAAAGGGGTGTTGCTCTATAAGGATTTGAGTATTTCTTGTTCATAATGCTGCAAGTCATTATAAACTGTTGAGAAGAGGAAAAGTAATTTTGCAAAGCAGCTCTAAACTATTAGATTAATTTCATTGAACCTAAAAGGTAGATAACTGAAGTTATCAAACTTAATGGTAAAATTTTTACCATTTAGAGTACTTGGTGAGTGCATATATTTGCAATTAATTAAGCAAGGATTATTGCAGTGGCTGGAAGCTCGTCTGGAGTCCACATATATGCAGTGTTAAGTCTCTAAGGCATCAGGGGAGGAGCTGAAGAAATATTCAGGTCAAACTGATGCAGAGTTGTGGATAATAGCAACATATGAGAACTCAGCTTGGTCAATCATGGCAATTTCATTTATATCACTGCTTGCTATGTCTGCTATCCTAGCTGCTTGTTTCTTTTTGCGGAGACACCAGATAAGACGGGACAGGGCTCGACTTCCCCAAGCTCGGGAGTTCCATGGAATGAGCAGTCAATTAGTTAAAGCAATGCCAAGTCTTATTTTCACAAAAGTGCAAGAAGACAACTGTACATCAGCAACATGCGCCATTTGCTTGGAAGACTACAGTGTTGGAGAAAAACTAAGAGTGCTACTTTGTCGACACAGTATGTTTCTCACACATCTATTTAACTGATGTTTGGGAGTTTGTGGTCTATTCATTTTATATGTGAGCTGAATCTGGCTTGCTAGCCATTACTGTCCATGCATTGTTTACTACTCTTTACTATTTCCTTTGATCACAAATGTAAGTTCATCTAGGTTTATCCCAAACTTTTTTTTTCGCTGGCACTACTGTCTATGCTTTTTTTACTATTCTTACTGCTTCTTTTCATCACAAATGACAAATATGACCCATTTAGGTTTGTTCTAAGCCAAGCCTTTTTAGCTTGGAGCTACTAGATTCATCAAGGAAACTACTTTCACAATGTATAACTGTTTCTTTTCAAGTCAAGTTAATAATATATTGCTTGTCCAAAAATGCCATTGCTTGTCCAAAAGCGTCAAGTTAGTAATATTTGTGATAAGCAGAAGTAGGTATTACAGATGCAAATGCAGAATAGCACTACAAGAATGGTAGTAAAAGAATGCCATGGTAGAGGGCAAAAAAATTAATCACAATACTTCTGTATTTTTTTGCTAGCTTGAGATTTCAGCTTGGTTGTATATTATTATACAACATTTCACATGCATTCAACAACTTTATTTTGCTTTCTGATTTAGTGATGATGCATATATTGAATTTTAGTTGCAACTTTGATTCCACTATGTAACTAGTGCTGCATGCATTTAAAACATCACCTGGTATACTTGTTATTATAAATCTCTCCTTAACTCATGACCTGAGGCTTGGTTGTTTCACTTTGCACTTTGCAGAGTTCCATGCAGCTTGTGTGGACCTATGGCTCACCTCCTGGAGAACATTCTGCCCTGTATGCAAGCGGGACGCAAATGCTGGAACATCAAACCCTCCTGTATCAGAGTCTACCCCTTTGCTTTCATCATCTGCCATTCCCTTACCAGAATCAACTGCTTTGGCTTCCTTCCAGTCTACAGTAGCAGCATCTCCCCCCAGGCCAATCAGCGGCATCCTTCATCACGGGCCATATCCATAATTACTCCATTTCGGGTTCCAGTATCCCTCGCACCCCTAACCCTAGGTTTTATGCAAACTCATCTCCTATCTGCACAAGCGGAAGCAATTTGGACCTTGCAAATATATCATCCTCATGGTCTCGCACTTCGCACCTTGCATCTGCTCACTCTTTGTGCGGTGGCCACTTGTCCCCACCGATTGACATCAGAAATACCTCACCACACATCTCCCGTTCAGCCTATGGATCTCCCAGTCATTACATAGGCTCATCACACATGTCCCATGGATCTCTGAGTTACTACCTTGGATCTTCAGGGCAGCGGAATCCTTACCTGAGGCACTACACGTTGTCAGGCCCGAGCCTGTTCACCATGGTGCCCCAGTCACCGCAACAGAACCAGTTGCAGCACGGTGGAGACTCGGAAACAAATCTGTCAGCTGCTGCATCAACTCCGTCATTCCGTCAGCTCTACCTGCAGCATTGCCCTGATTCTGACACGTCATGTCAGTCGCTTCCAGGGTGTTGATTCTTGCTGCAAGATTCACCATTTTAACACTGATGGTGGCTCCAGTAAGCTCCCATGGGAAATCTTATCTGGTACCGAATTAACATGTGGATTTGAGCTCGTCAACATAATTCACCATGATGATAAAAAAAGCTGTGACAAAACTGCTTGTAAGAAGAGAGAATCGGCAACCCCAGAATGTGAGCAATTTTACTTGCTGAGTGTACAGGGAGTTTGGAGTAGTTTTGGATTTGCCTACTTTGAGGCATGTAATTCTGTCATAGGTTGCTTCTGCTCAATAGTTGATGTGTTGCTTCATCTTGAAGAAGCAAATGCGCCTGTCTGGTTTCACGAGCGTTTAGCGTGTACTGATACAGCTTTGTAGGAATCCTAGATGCTGTTTGTCTATTGAGGTTTGAGCCTGTAACATTTCCTTTTTTTTTTGAATTAGTTCATATGGGCATTGAAATCTGAATAGAATAAAGCCTTGGGGCTGAGGCCCTTGTTCTCCCGTTTAGTATGATGAATTGAAGATCCTATAGTATAGATAGATACACCCCTCTATTTCTAGGTACCACTTGTGCAGTAACAGACTAAACTGCCATGGCAGCCATGAGCTGAAAGAAATGCTGAAAATGAGATCGGTTAAATGAACTGGTATAATGTGCACTTTTCAGCTTCATTCATTTATGTTGTTGCTTGAGATCATTTTAGCGGACAAACCGAGTATGTATTCATTTTGCAACAGAAACTGGAATCAACAATGGATTGTCCAATAGGAATAGGATTAGCCCACAGAGTAAAAAAGGGTGAGAAAATATGTTTGCTTCACACGTCACTGAGCAACTGAGCATACAAATTCCTCTAACAATAGTCCACAAGTAAAAATAGAAGGAACAAAGAACACACGGATAAAAACACACGCTGGACAAAGAACTAAGTAGTATTTTGCCCTATCCTGAATCTGCACATGTTTGCCCGCGACAAAGTTATTCCTGTGGTGAACTTGAAAGCTTCTCCATCAGCATATTGGTAATGTTACCATACAAAAGTTATCCGCTGGTTGTATTGCATACCTGCCTCGTAAAAACACCTATCAATCTCACCAAAAAAGTAGGGTTATATCAAAGCACAAGAAACTATTTTGGAAGCAGTTGATGCACAGGGAACGGAACTCACTAGATAATTATGCATGATGGTTGAATTCGAAGGTGCAACCCAACGTCCCAACCCAGAGTATACCAATAACCTCCTGTTCATTTCCATAATGGTTCTGGATCTGGTACTTGGCCAACTGCAATTCATCGGTGACTTTTGCTAGTTTGCCCCCAAGGGTAAAGTTTAGTGCATCACACGCATATTGATGGTCTTAGGATTTCTGGATCAATGGATGTACTTCTGCCCATTATATGGAGAGTGTTTTTTTTTTCATTGGAACATATGGGCACCATTGGCTTATCTGAATACCATCTTTCCTTTACAAAAATACACGGGAGTTTCCACCATGTGTACCTTTCAACAACTTCCACTCTTCCAGTCCCAGCTGCTTTGACTTTGGCCCATTTTGCTCACTAGCAACACACAAGATCTCTTGCCAAGCAATGGGCAGTCGGCAGCCTTTGAAAGTTCAAGTTGCAGAGACAGATCAAGCAGCAACTTAAAACCCTGCAGTAGTCCAGTCTCATTGCCAGCCAGCTTCTCCAAGAGCTGAACTAGTAATGAACTACAGTGAGGAACAAAACAAGGACACGTGCAACTGGGGAAAAACCTACATGTATGATCAACAGTAAGTATTTTTATTGTCATGGTAAGATAAACTGTATGGGCTAAAAGGAAATATGTAGCGTCCTCCTGAAACTTAAACAAGCAAAAACATGCTCAAACATGGGAAAACAGTAGCACAAATGATACAAGCATTCGGAAAGCACCTGGAAACAACTCCCCATACAGCAGCACTTTTGACACATGATGCATGAAGTCCAACTGTTGTTAAGACATGGACGCAAAGCAGGCGGCAACTGTGCACAACGTATGTCTCAATCTGAGTTCAATGTTTCTTTTCTCTTGAATATGCGTAATTCAATGTACAAGTAATCACACTCCCCCAATAGGTAACTGTCGTTGTTTTCGGACCACCGATGAGTAAATTTATATTTGCGCGTCCGGCTCGGATGGTGTGCTCGGAGGACACAAGGGTTTATACTAGTTCGGGCGGAACGTCCCTACGTCCAGTTCGCTGCTGCTCGTGTTACCGGCTCTTGGTTTGCAGTAGAGGTTACAAACAGGCGAGAGAGGGAGAGGATCCCAAGTCTATGGTGGAAGAAGTGAACAGGTGCTGAGAGCTCGCTTGCCGCTCAGCCGTGTGCTCGTGTCGTGCTTTTGTGTTTCGATCTCTCCTGCCCGGATCTCGATCCTTGCTTCCCTTTTTATAGGCGAAGGGAAAGCGCGGGTTATAGAGGAGGAAAAAGTAGAAGAACGAGAGAGAAGAAGGCTTCCAGGGTTGCCGGGTCCTTCTTCTCCTTCATGCGGGTCCCGCTGATCCTGTAGATGTCAACAGGGATGGCTCCATGTCTCGGCCCTGTTCGTCACTGGCGCCATGCACAGGAGTCATCTGCCAGTCATGGTGTTCCATTCCATCCCGGCGGACGTCGTGGTGAATTGACGCGCCTGTCAGCGTCCGTACGAGGATTAGGCAGAACAACACTGGCACGTCCGACACTGTTCTTGATTTGAATCCCCAGGTATGGTCCGTCATAGCCACGGGTTACATCGAGACGTACCAGCCTCTTCCCTAGCGTCAGAGTTTTGACCCAGGCCCATACGCTTGGATCTGGAGTGGTTGGCGGTGGTATGGGCCCCCGTCGGACGAGACGGAAACCGCGTCCTTGGGGTCGGGTGAGACGGAGCCCGCACCCAACGGGTCGAGCGAGACGGAGCCCGCTTCCTAGGGGTCGGGCGAGGCGGTGCCCGCACCCAAAGGGTCGGACGAGACAGAGCCCGCGGCCTCGAGGTCGGGTGAGGCGGAGCCCACGGCCTCGGGGTGGGGTGAGGCGGAGCCCACGGCCTCGGGGTGGAGCGAGATGGAGCCCGCGACCTCAGGGTCAGGTGAGACCTTTTAATACGTCTCGAGCCATCCAAAGGAGTTAGCGTGGGCTCTAACTCCCTTGCTTTGGGTATCCCTAATATCGATATCCGACAGTAGCCTCCGAGCCTGCGGAGGAGTAGAATATTCCTTTGGAGGCTTTTTTGGACGGGAGGACTCTGAGGGCCTCGGCCTTCTTTTGGTAGCCTACGGCGTGTCCTGGTAGGACGGTGATTCCCTTTTGTCGCGATCGGTCTTCTTGGGGTCATGTAACCGTAGGATTCGAGAGGTCGGAAAGATTTTTCATGATTCTGGTCCCCTAGGATCTGATCGGTCCGCCGTCGTACTATGACCGCGCGTTCGGTCTCCTTCGATTTCAACTTCCCTTGAGCGCCCGCGCGTAGCAGGGGTCTGATCGAGGGTCGGCTCATCTTTGTGATCGTCATCCCTCAAGCGTTTTTTTGATAAAACAGAGGGGTTGAGCCGTGCCACGTCTTTCTTCGATGGATGAAACATGGTGCTCGGTGAGCTATTAACGGGCTAGTCTGAGTGGGGCCCCAGCTTCCTATTCGCGGGGTTCCGACATGGGTCAGCTAGTGACCGATTCTATACTCTTGGCGGCCAATCCATTTAGTTCTTGGGTCCGTTTGTCCGGTCCCAAGGGCTCGTTGCCTTTCTTCGAGGAAAAACCATGGACTGGGAACCAAACAAGACTCGAACATGGGCTGCGATGCCTGCGACGCTCGTGCGCCAGGGTACTGGCCGCTAGTGGGCCCATCCCTTTTCACCCCTCGCTCTAAGGGTGCCCCGGAGCGGCTGTGAACCCATCGGTGGGGCAGCCTTCGAACTCCCGGTCCTAAATGGGCCGTAGGAGTGTTTTAGCTCTGTATCCCTCCTTACCTATGATGGTTCTTGGCCCATCGATCGGGCAAACCATCATCTGGCATGTCCTTCGAGGGCACGGCCAGAGATAGCGTGCGCACGATCTTCGGAGGGAGGTGACTTGGCGCGGCGCAGCGGGCGCGTGAGTCTAGGCGAACGGTTCGCCTTCTCACCCCGCTCTGTCCTATAAATAGCGGTCTCCCCCTTCATGTTTCTGCACACCAAAACCACAGCCTTACCTTCTCCGTTTCTCCGCCATCGCCGTTCGGATCTGCCGTGCTTGCTAATCCGCTGCTGGAGCCCTAGATCTATAGCTTCCGCTTCTCTGCCGCCGCCTTTGCTTCTCTACAGCCGCCTCCATCCTCCATGGATTCATGGTACCGCTCTGATGTTACCCATGCGCCCATGGAGGGCCTCGTCAAGCGTGGTCTTCTCCATGGGAGGACCGATGCGGTGGAGTGGCTCGTGCCCGGCCGTGAGGATGCGCTGGCGCCGCTCGATGGCTATGTCATCTCCTTCGCGCCCTTCCACAAGCGTGGACTCACGGTT